TCCCTCGTTCTTAACATGTTTGTTTGTTTGTTTGTGTTGGGTCTTCTGATGCCTGACACCTGATCCCATGGACACCTCATGATCACACAGGCTGGTGTGCTTCTTCCATGTGGACTTGTTGCTTCTCTGATAGATGGCCACTTGTTTAACTTCAAGCCTTTAAGACCCCAGACGCTATATTTCCTGATAGACAGGCACCATCAACTTTCTTCACCACATTTGCTTGTGCACCTATTTTGTCTTCAGCAATCGTGTTGGCAGGGTGAGCATCACAGAATGCCAGGTTGTTAGAACACAGTGTTCTTGCATTGAGGAGGGCTAGAGCAGAGGCCCAAAGTCCGTCCATGTCCTCAAAGGAAGTGATGTAATAGTCCTTTCAGGTAAGCTTTTGTGTTTACCTGCCCAGGAATTAGTCGATGTTTATTGTTTGCTCTAGCTGTTGTATCAGAGGCTAAAATTCCTTTAATATTCTTGTTTTCTTTCCCTTTGTCTTTGGGTTTTCTAGAGAACTCTTTCATAAATAGAGTTTTAGTCTTGCAGTGCTTTCTACTCTATTCTCTTTGAACTATCTGTACAGGGGCATTGCTAACGTGGTGGTATGGTGTGCGGAGGGGAAGGCTCTGATAATCTTTAGTACTCTATTAGGATTGTGGTCCTGGGCGCTAATATTCGCCAGTATTTTTCAGCTTGCACTTGTCTTCTGTCATTATTGTTCAATGAGTAAAATCTATCTTTGAGAAGTTCTTGAAATTCAAGTGATATAGGAGGGGCTACCTTCAAAAAACTGGAAAAAATTTCAAAGCTATGTATCAAAAATTTGTTTTAAAAGCAACCTTATCATCTTCAAAGTACTCTCCATTACACTTAATGCATTGATCAAATCTGTGATTTCATTCTTGGAAACGTTTTTCAAACTCATCTGTTTGGCTGGCTGACAGCACCTCCTTCGTTTTGTTCTTCATCTTTTCTATGTCGTCAAGTAGCTGTCCTTTCATGTACCTCTTCATTCTTGGACACAAAAAGAAGTTGCACAGAGTGAGGTCCAGGTGCATGGGGCAAGAGAGGCCAGCTGTTTTTTTGCTAAAAACTGGCGCACTGAGGTGGCTGTCTAAGCAGGTGTATTGTCTTGTTGGCAAAATCAGTCACCTGTCTACCACAAATCAGTGCTTTTTTGTTGCACACTGTTACACAATCTCTTCAGAACCTCTAAATAGAAAGCTTGATTAACAGTCTGACCTGGTGGAACGAATTCCAAATGCACTATGATTTGACATTTCTGTCCGTTTGGGAGGCTGATGGATGTCTAAAATGCAGTTTGTCATCAATCGACATCTCACCTTGTTTGAAAAGTGAAAACCACTCGTACACTTGAATTTTCACCATAGTGCTGTCTTTGTAATATTTTCTGCAGCACTTTTTTCTAAGCAGGAAACAAAATTTCACAGCTGCATGCTGTTCACTTAAATCAGCCATCACAGAAAACAAGGTTGGTGCAAAACTGCTTTTACAAAAAAATTCTCTGTAACCCTAGAGAACCTTCCGAGGCGATGCCACTGGGCGCCCTAACTCAGACTGAGTTGCTGGATGCTCACCTAGTGGGGAAAATGCAGGCTAAGAAAGCTCCTCCCAGCAGAGCTTTTTTTTTTTTTTTTTTTTCCGTCCCCCAGTTTTTATGGTACCCTCTCATATACTCAAGGTTGTATTTTGACTCTGTGGATTTGTTTTAATTTTCTTCAACTTCAACCTGAATTTACTTGTGAGCAATTGATGACCTGTTCCACAGTCAGCTTCTGGCTTTGTTTTGGCTGCTGAATTTGAGTGTCTCCATTATCTCTTCCCATGGTGTCATCAATCTGATTCAAGTTTCCCAGCTAAGAATGGACTATGAGAGCCGGTGTGTAGAAGAGCGACATTACCGACTACACTACACTGTGGTGTACATATGAATAAATGCGTTTTACAAGGGCTCTGTACTTTTCTACTAAGTCAAAGCCAAATGTTAGAAACCTTAAATGGAAAATACCCTGGAGGCCACCTTTTACCTAGAATAGCAGGTTGGCTCACTAAATAAAGGATACAATTCATGAGTATTGCACATCTTAAAAAAAAATCATCTACATGAGACCAAATGGGAAACCACTGCTCTGCACCAAGATAGAAAGGGAAAGGAAGAGGGCAAGAGAAATCAGATGCCTGAACCAGAGCAGGATGAATGAGATTGTGGACACGTGATGAAAAACATAAGCAAAGTCACTAGTTAATTCGTGTACTAATTGTTAAATGGGAACCTAATTGGCTGTGTAAATGTTCATGGAAAATGCAATCAAACGTGTGTTTTTTTAAATCCGATGTTATTTGGCCAGATTTCTTTTTCTTTCTCTCTCTCTCTCTCTGTTTTTTATTAAGATTGATTTCCCCTATTTTAAGGATCTGAATAGTAAATCATCCTGCTAATGGAGCCTCACTGCCAGTGAGCCCATCGACCCTACAAGACAGAGTGGAACTGCTCCTATGAGTTTCTGGGACTGCACATCTTTATGGTAGTAGAAATAGTTCTCTTTCTCCCAAGGAGCTATGAGTGGTTTAGAACTGCTGACCTAGTTCTTAGCAGCTCAACACACAACCCACATTCAAAGGAGTTTCCTGTGTGAGAGGTAGTGCTTAAGAGAGATTGAGTTTCTATTCACCAAAAGCCAAACCAAACCAAACCAGTGCCATCTGGTCAACCCTGACTCTTAGCGACTCTATAAGACAGAGGAGAAACTCCTGGGGGTTTCTGAGATCATAAGTCTTGATAAGAGGAGGCAACCTCTTCTTTCTCCTGTGGAAACTTTCACGTAACAAAAAAACTAAACCCATCAATTTTTATCTGCCCGTCCAGCGTGTGCTCTCTGCACTGCCTTTTAGCAACAGAACAGGAGTGGTCCCTCAGCTGTGGGGACGAGGTGGCAGCTTGAGTCTCTGCACACTCCCCTTTCCTGTGTCTTTGGAGCTCTGCTTCACCCTCTCAATCTCCTGTTCGCTCTTGTCCCTTCCCTTTCTTGGCCTCCCTCTCTATATTCTAGACCCTTATCTGTCTCTTGGCTTGACCCCAATCTCTGGGTTTCTTCACATTTCACCTCTAGCTCGAACCATGTTTCCCCTCCACAATACCAAGTCTTTAAAAGAACAAACACATCCGTCTTGGGAGAAGTACAACTGGACGCTCCTGAGGGCAAGGAGCGAGACTCCGCTTTACATACTTGGGACATGCTGTCAGGAGAAACCGGTCCCTGGAGAAGGACGTCATGTGTGGTGAAGTGGGGGGGCGCTGAAAAAGGGGAAGGCCCTCCAGGAGACGGCCTGACACCGCGGCTTCCTTGAGGAGCTCAGACATAAGAACACTGGTGAGGCTGGCACAGGACCGGGCAGTGTTTCGTTCTACGGCACACACGGGGTGCGATGAGTTGGGTCCGACTCAGCAGCAGCCACACAGCAAGAAGTCTTTACCATCTGCACTTTTCCTCTTCTGCCAATGGGAACCAATTGCTGTTGAGTTGATCCCAATGGCTGGTGATCGTCTGTGTGCAGAACCGTGCTTCATCCTTTTCCCGGAACTAATGACCAAGCCTTTCCTTGGAGGTGCCCCCGGAGACTTCATTTTACACTTAAAAGTCACTCACTGCCACCGGGCCCATTCCAACGCCTATAGGACAGGGTAGAACTGCCCTGTGGGTTCCCAAGACTGTAACTGTTGACGGGAGTAGAAAGCCTCATCTTTTCCCTGAGGAGCAGCGGGTGGCTTTCAACTGCTAACCTTCTGGTTATCCACCCAGCGGGTAAGCACGCTGCCGTGCCACGAGGGCTTTTCATTGACTGCGGTCAAGCTGGTTCCAATTCATAACATCCCCTTGTGGTACAGAGTAGAACTGCTCCCTAGGGTTTTCTTTGTAGTAATCTACAAATGGTTAGCACACTGAACCACTAACCAAAAGGTTGGAGGTTCAACTCCACACAGAGCTCCCTTGGCCTGGTGCTCTGCTTCTGAAACATCACCTGATTAACCACAGGAGTGTCAACCCTAGGAAACACAGGTCTACTCTGACACATATGCAGTTGCCATGAGATGGAATCAACAGAACATTAAAAAAAAAAAATTCCTTCTCTGTGAGGTCACCAGGGCCTGGCTGTGTCCCTGAACCCCAGATTGTACCTCCTTCCAGGCTGCTCCCATTCCTTTCTCTTTCAGGACTAGGGGTGGTCATAACTCTCCACTGTTGCCCACCCTGGGGTCCTGTCGCACCTCTTCTTGGTTTCCTTACACCCACTTGCTTTGTAAGCAAGTCCTTTATTAAATTCACTTCCAGGGATCCCGTGTGAAGCTGCCATCTTCTTGCTCCTAGTACTTTGAATGAATCAAGTGTGAGCCACTTGAGAAACAGCTGAATCCCCAGACAGGAAGTAGGGTTGAGGCAGCAGTGGGCTATACTCACTTTACTGACCCTTTATTTTATTTATTTTTAATTTTTTAAATTAGGGAGTTAATACACCTATCATGCCATAGTTCAATCACATCAGGCAGTATTGCATCATTGCTACCACAACCAGTATCCAAAACTCTTTTCTGTTGGGGACCATCACTTTACAGGCAAAGTCTAAGCGGTGGAGAGGACACGGCCCAGCCCTGAACTCTACCCTTCATTACCTCTGGCATATTGATAGTTAAGGAGTTCATGTCAAGTCCTATGAGTTTGTTTTGTAGAGAACAACCTGTGCAGAGAGTTCTGGTAGATAAGAAAGGAACGTTTTTGCTACAGAATGATTTTTAGTCATTCTTAGATTAGAAAAGTAACAGAACACCTTAGTCAGCTTGAGCAAACACTTAGGTTTACTGTACCCTGCTTCCTGATACTGATGGTATAGGTATCTGCTGGCTAACAAATAAATTTGCTGGTTGCTGCATTTGCACCAGTCCTCCTAACCCTGTTGTTTGTCTTTCTTAGTAATCCCACTCCACCTCTGCCTGTGTGGACCCTCTGTAGGTGCAGGTCACTGCAGCTGGTGCCCAAACAGGGACTGAAGGTGGGTACAGTGAGGACCCCAGAGAAGAAACCGGTGTCAAGGTAAGGAACGAAAGTATATAAAAATCCTGGGGCATAATTAAATTAATTAGGAGTAAAATGGGGCATAAAAATGACAAACAGATTTTTGTACATATGCTTCAAAATATGTTAAAAGCCAAAGGAACAAAAGTAAGCTACCAAAGATTAGAGAAGTGTTTAGATTTTGTAGTTAAAGTATGTGCTTGGTTCCCTGAGGATGGGACTGTAAATATTGAAACTTGTTTGAAAGTAGGGGAACGACTAACAGGTCACTATGCAGGGTAATGGACCTAGCAAAGCCCCCATAGATACGTTTAGCCTATGGAATTTAATTAGGGAAAGCTTGGATCCTAGGCAAGAGGGACTTTTGGAGTTAATAACTTAATCTGTGTGAAGCAGGGAAAACCGGAAGAGAGCGCCTCTGTAATTATTAGAGGGACTTTCGGTGGGGGGAAAGAAAAGAAGAAAGGGGAAAAAAAGGGAAAAAGAAAGAAAAGAAAAATGGGAAATTCCCCGTCCATGGAACGCGAATATGAAAAGTTGATAAAAGGACTTCTCCATTCTACAGGGGTGGAGGTTAAAGATAAATTATTGGGAGAATTATTGGCGCATGTGCAACAACATTGTTATTGGTTTTACAGTCAAGAAAAGGTTAAATTGAATTTGTGAGCATGGCAACAAGTAGTAAAAACATGACGCACTGCTCATCAACAGGGACAGACTATGAATTTAAAGCTATGGTCTTTGTGTAGTGCTATTACTCAAGCTTGACAGTTATTAGAGACAGACTCGGAGAAAGGTGAAGAAAGTGATAAAGACAGGAAAGAGAACGGAATCCAAAGGGAGGAGGAGTACGCAGAAGTAGCTGAGGAGGAATTAGGTCCAGAATTAGCAAAGAAAGAATCAGATGATGTGGGAGAAGGAAATGATGTTCAAGAGATTATAAAATTGCTAAAACAAATGCTTAAATGTCATTCTGCGAACAGCCCTTTAGCTGCTCCATTGCCCGGAGCTACTTTCACTTTCACACGGCCGAAACATGGGGAGGAGAAGGACAAGCCGCTTCCTAATCCAGGAATGATAGCCTTTCTCATATCAGAGCTTGTGCAGGGATCAGCGGAACTGCATAACAAACTGAGTTGTTTGCGGTGGCTATAGCTCGTGCTGTGGTTGGTGGAAAGCGCTCAGTCTGCTAAAATCAGTGGCAAGCGCTGGAGAACTGCAGCTCTATCTCATTTTTCTAAGCCTAAAAGAAAGTGCTCCCCTCCAGAACCAATATTTTATAGAACCATAGACGGAGAGATTTTACAACGGGGTCGAGGGTTTGCTCTTATCTCCACAGATTCCGGAGCTGAGTGGTTCTCAACCCGACTTCTGAAACGGAGAGATGGCTAAGAAGTCCCGCACTCAGAAGTTTTTGCAAGAGTTTTTTTGGCTATACTAGCACTGCTGTCTGTTCAGGTAAATGTTGCAGCAGGAAAAACTTATTGGGCGTATGTGCCTGATCCCCCCTTTTTAAGACCTTTAACATGGGAAGATCCTCCTGTACATGTGTTCATAAATGATACCCGTATCTTTTTCTTATAAGGGGAGATCTTTATGCCCACCATTATGTTTTTCTAAACGAAATCCTGTTGGAACTTTATATTTAGAAATAAAAAAGGGAAAGGTGTTTACAGAAGGTTTGGATGAACATTGGTTACAAAAACAATATACATTGGAAATAGAAGGGCCTTCTGATTTTGATGGGTTTATTGACAGTCATGTGCATCCTCCTGATATTCCTGTTTGCAAGGCTTTTTCTACTGATATTCGACCATTTGTAAAACACCCTTTTTGGCTTAATTGTCATCATGAACTTCCAGCAGCTCATCTTCTAGTTGAACCTGAACACATGATCATCGACTGGAGAACTGTTAATCCTAAAGGAAAGGACGAGATGGAAAAGATGCATTTTGCCGGATGATGGGTGCCGAGAATTTTAACCAGTGATCAAGGAGGGTCTCAACCTACTGTGTGGAAACTTAGGGCTGCACTGGGAACTTTAAAATATACACATGGAAGAGAGACTGAAATCTTTACCATTGTAGCTTGTGTTCCTCCTCCATATGTAATGTTGGTGGGTTTTATAACTATTAAACAATTGTGGGACGATCAAAAGAGTCATGAAGGATATGAAATTAGCTGAACAAATTGTAAACTAACAAATTGTATTTCTTATAAGGATGTGCATTATGATATTGTCATATTACACCAACCTGCTTTTGTAATGTTGCCTGTGGATGTGACTGGAAGTTGGTGTCAGCATTCTGGCCTGGAAGTTTTAAAACAGCTGCATGGATTAATGAACAGACCCAAAAGGTTCATAGGAAAGTTGATAGCAGGAATAGTAGCAGTGGTGGCTTTAGTGGCCACAGCTACCACTGCCACTATTGCTTTGACACAGGAAATCCATACAGCACAATATGTAGCTGCGTTGGCTAAGAATGTTAGCATAGTTTGGAGAGCTCAAGAAAGAATAGACAGGAAACGGAACAAAGATGAGGTGTGCTGGAACAAACATTACTGTTGGTAGTGATGAAGGAGCCAGATGGAAAGTTATAGCTGGCCTACAGTGTCACGCGGAATTTGATCATATTTGTGTTACTCCAAAAGTCTACAGTTCATCTGATTGGGATTGGGAAAGAATTAGGATGCACTTACTTGGTATTTGGCATCATTCTAATATGTCTTTGGATATTGCAAAATTGCATAAAGAAATAATGGCTATATCTAGTGCTCAGGAACCTTTATTATCACTCTCTCAAGTAGCGGGAGACATTTTTGACACCTTGAAAGGGTGGTTTTGTCATTTTCGCAGTCTAAATATGTTTGTTAGTGCTGCCATGATATTTGGATTAATTTGTCTTATTCTTTGTTTTCTACCAGTCGGCATCCGAGCCTTTGGAGCCTCAATAAGAGCCTTGCAATCTTCTGTACATGAACTCCATTTAAAAAACAACGAAGAGGGAGATGTTGGGGACCATCGTTTTACAGGCAAAGTCTGAGCGGTGGAGAGGACACGGCACAGCCCTGAACTCTACCCTTCATTACCTCTGGCATATTGATAGTTAAGGAGTTCATATCAAGTCTATTGAGTTTGTTTTGTAGAGAACAACCTGTGCAGAGAGTTCTGGTAGATAAGAAAGGAACGTTTTTGTTACAGAATGTTTTTGAGTCATTCTTAGATTAGAAAAGTAACGGAACACCTTAGTCAGCTTGAACAAACACTTAGGTTTACTGTACCCTGCTTCCTGATACTGATGGTATAGGTATCTGCTGGCTAACAAATAAATTTGCTGGTTGCTGCATTTGCACCAGTCCTCCTAACCCTGTTGTTTGTCTTTCTTAGTAATCCCACTCCACCTCTGCCTGTGTGGATCCTCTGCAGGTGCTGGTCACCACACTTTTCCTCCCTGGATTCCTTGATATCATCTCCCTTTGATTCTCCTAACCTCCCATTGTACCCTCCACCCCACCCCCAATCCTTATTCTACTTGCTGTCCCTATAGGTTAATCAATCCTGACTTCCATCTACCAGAAAACAGGACAACTTACAACACAAATTCAAGAGGGTGCCCCCCAACCACATAACACCTCTGAGATAAACCCTACTGGAAGCCGTTCACCAGGTCTTGACCCTTACACTCAAAAACTCAAAGTCACAGCCAGGGAAACGATTCTGACTCATAGCGACCGACTCTGCAGGGCAGGGTAGAATTGCCCCTGTGAGTTCCCTGAGACGGTCCCTGTTGAGTATGACGCCCCATCGTCATTGTCCCTCGGAGCGGCTGATGGTTTCAAACTGCTGACCTTGCAGCCCACTGCGTAACCACTATGCCACGGGACTCCTTGGGCACATAGAGCAAGTCTTCATTGGGATGTTAAATTTTCTTGGGAAAGATTTGCTCTTCATAAAACTTATCATTGAAAACATTGACTCACAGACACGAGTTGTTCCGAATGTACAAAAGCGCTTCCTGATAAGCAAATCCCAGTAGACACTTTTGTGTGAAACTTCATTCATGTTCAATTTTGAGCTAGTTGCATTAGCCGTGTTTCACGGTAGTTGATGACCCATCGCAGGTGGCTACCACGTGGGACTTCAAAGGACAAGGATAAAGTGGGATGTTCTATGTAAAGCCCTCACATGTCTCCTCAGTGAGTCTCAGGCTGGAGAGAGATCCTGAACTCGGCCCCCATCACATGGCACAGAGCACCAGGTCCCGGGGTCAGAAAAGTCCACGGTGGCATCTCTCCAAGGGACTGAGATCACAGGTCCCCTCTTCCTCGGGTCAAAGTAGTACAATGAGTCAGCTGCCAGGTTCAGGGTCCTGTGTCCACTAAGTAGTGTAAGAAAAGCCTGCCCGCTGGGGCAATTGGAGGCCAAGACAGGCCAACACGGACACACTCATTCACAAGGTCAATACGTATGGGCTTGGATTGACCCCTGCCAGGAAATGGCCAGGTGCCAGATCAGAGTGATGATGGGGACAGTCCCAAGTCCAGTGGACAATCAAATGAATAGGACTCAGTCCTTGCACCCCTGGAGCTCAGACACTAAGATGGTGAGAAGGAGCGAGTGATAGCAAGTCACACACACACACACACACACACACACACACACACACACACGGAGGGTCAGAGAAGCTGTCTTGTACTGTGAAGACAGAACCAGAGGCAGGGAGGGGACTGTCCAAAGGTGGCCCAAGCAATCAAAGATATCAAGAGACACCTGATCACTTGACCTGCCAGGGCTCTGTCTCTCTCCACCGGACTCCTCCATCCTTGTCTTACCAGTCCTGTGTCTCTCGCCCCTCCCTTGGGTTCTCCTGTCTCTCTGGCTGTGGCTTTCTGGAGGGAGATGAGAGAGATAGATTCTGAGCATCTACAGGATGTTCAAACACAAGGACCCGGAGATGCACATACACCCCCATGCAGTGCATGTGCACATGCACACACACGCAGGCCCACATACAGGGACATACATCATTACCATTATGTACATACAAACACACCTGCCCATATAAAACCAGGCAAGCATATATAAGTAGACACACACACACACACACACAAGCACCTATAGGTTTGCCCTCAGAAAGTCACACGGCCATCCAAATGCAGGCACACCTTTCCATCTACAACTATGAAATATATGAGTCCAGTCCACAGACTATACAAGAGCACACGTGCAAGCGTGCCCAGACTCCACACAGAAGCACACATCTTCATGTTTGCAATAAATACCACCATCATCTTCCCTCTCTCCCTGCCCCACACCTTTTTTTTGGTTTGGGATAAACTTGTTTGTTGCTAAAGACTCCAAGTCCATTTCAATGTTACTTTCCCTCCTCTTTAAACCAATGAACCAACCACGCAACCATTCAAACCACTCTTTAGGTCTGAGGGATAAGGATTCTGGAGGGATTAAAAAAAAGAAATATACTATATAGAGAGATTACATAGCCCATGTCAAGAAATGAAATAAACAATAATATCCTGTTAACTCCTCCATTTTTTGGGTCCCCATTCCCCCCGCACCGATATCCCTTCACAGACAAAAATCCTATGATCACAGAGAGGCAAGTGAACATGGAACAGCGCATAGATATCAGACACAAGTAGGGAGGTGTATGCTCATCTGTATCCTAAAAAAACAACCCAAACGAAACAAAACAAAAACCACCAGCACCAAACCCAATGACAACACACGCCCACTTCTACAAGAACCTCAGGTCTACCTCCTGTCTGCCAGCGCGAGGGAGGGGTGAAGGAGGAGGGAAGGAGAAGGTTGCTGGGCCTCCAGAGGAGGAAGTATGATCCCTTAGCATCTCTTCTAAGGTCACACTCATGGACAGTGATGCAAGGGGAGGCGGGACTGATGGGGTTACATAACCGAGGGAGGAGGCAGGTTCAGATAAAAGTCCCAGCTCCAGCCTGCGATGCTGCGCTGGCGTGGAAGACACTCAGCCTCAAGCCATGGAGCTCAGCATCCTCCTCCTCCTCGCTGTCTTCACAGGACTCTTACTTCTCCTGGCCAGGGGCCACCCAAAGACCCACAGCCGCCTCCCTCCAGGTCCCCGTCCTCTGCCTTTCTTGGGGAACCTTCTGCAGATGGACAGAAGAGGTCTACTCAAATCCTTCCTGAGGGTGAGAGCCTGAGGGGCGGGGCCAGGGGGCGGCTGGTCCCTACCTTGGTACTTGGGGATCACTCAAGGATCCCTAAGAGAGTCAGGTATCCCGGCTCAGGGATGGAGCGCATCCCTGGGTCGGTAGGTCAGGTGCATGGAGCTGAAGCCTGGTGGATTGTGGTCAGGTTGTCCCAATCCTTCCTGCTCCATTGAAAGGACACAGGCATTGTCCTTGGAGGGGACAGATGGCTATGAAGAGGTGTCTGGGTATGGGGCACAGGTGTAGAACTCTACTCTTCCCAGCTTCCCTTGATAGTCCCTGGATGCCTGCCCACCACTAGCAGAGAGAAAAAGAGGCGGAAGCACTAAACACTGGCTGGAGTCCAAGCCAGGGCAGTGGCGGAGAGGGAGGGAGAGCGGCAAGGGCAGGGAAGGATTCTGGGAGACTTGGAATGGACTCCTCATCAATGAGGTCCTTCTCCAAACTCACTGCCATCAAGTCGATGCCCGACTCAATGTGACCCCATGGAGCAGGATGGAACTGCCCCCTGTGAGCTTCTGCGATGGTAACCATTGACCGAGTAGGAAACCTCATCTTCCTCCTGTGGAGCAGCTGGTGGTTTTGATCTCTGGACCCTGTGGATCTGAGCCCAGTGCATAACCACTGTAACACCAGGGCTCCAGTAAGGAATTTAATGAGCTAGAAGAGTGGCTGCCACGTGTGGGTCATTTAGTCGGCTCACAATCACGGCTTTCTAGGCATGATTGCATTTTAATGATGCATCTATTTACCAACAATGCAATTGACTCATGCAGACCCATCCTTCCATGACTTGAGAACAACTTGAGGTGTTTTTTGTCCCTCTGACAGCTTCCACTTTCCTGAATTTTGGACCCATCAACCCTCTATTTAAAAAAAAATTAATTCTTTAAATGTTTGGCACAATTACCCAGTGAAGTCATTTGACCCTGGACTCTTCTTCGTTGGGAGGTTTTGGGTTACTGGTTTGATCTCTTCACTTGTTGCAGGTCTAGTGAGAGTTTCTATCTCTTCTTGAATCAACTTAGGTCATTTGTGTGTTTCTAGGAGTTGGTCCCTTTCACCTAGTTGACATACTCTTTGGTCGACAGTTTTTGCAGTATTTGCTCATAAACCCTTCTATTTCTGTAGGGCCTGTAGTAATGTCCCCACCTTCGTTTCTGATTTTAGGTTATTTGCATCTTCTCTCTTTCTCCTTTGAACTTTGTCGGTCTAGCTAAACGTTGTCCATACTGTCGATGTTTTCAGACAACACACTTTGGCTTTGCTGTTTTTCTCTATGGTTTCTTTTTTCCTCTCGATTTCCCTTCTCTATTTCCTCCATCTCTAGTCTAATCTTCATTGTTTTCTTCCCCCGTTTGCTTTTTGGAGAGAATGCTTTACCAGAGAGGTGGGTGTTTCAAGGGCCTGTTATTTAGAGTCAGTCCTTTTGGATGTATCAAAAGAGTGTTCTACTGCCATCTGGCCTCTTGCATTTAATCTTTCGCTCAGAAATGTGTGGCTAGGATTGATTTGCATGTTGTCAGTTCACCAGACCTTATTGACAATGACCCTGTAGGCTAGGTGAGGAATGATCCGCAGGTTAGAGGTAAGGGTGCACAACTGTTCACACAGCTGGTGGATCTTAGGACCCATTAGGGAGATCTGTATAACATTTTGGCATAAATAAATCCTTTAAGCATTTTATTAAAGCTGGTCATCTTACTCAAATATGTGCACACATTTGTGCATATAATTTAGGGGGGGTCACAGACTACACTGAGGGTCTTCCAAGGACCCTCTAGATCCCCACAAGACTTCGTTATCAGTATCTTTCAGGAGAAAGAGAGGGGGGGGAGGGAGTATGGGAAAGAGAGAGAGATCGTAAAGTGAAGCGAGGAAGGCAGCACTACCCTCCCTCCGTTCCCTGATTCCTAACAGATTCCCAGTCCTAAACCCTTTTAGACTGGGCGGCATAGACTCCGCTTTCAGATTCAACTACGGAGTCTCAGTTTCCCCCTTTTGATTTTGGGCTGATGACACGAAGCATGTGTGCCTCACAAAGTTACTGTGCAGTTAAACTGCGGAGTGTGTAGAGCCTGGTGTACAGTACCCCCAAATATCCCACTGACATCGAGGTGAGTCTGACTCACAGGGACCCTACACAGGGCTCCCAAG